AAAGGGGTTAGTGATAAATCAAAACTAGACGAAGATTTTTTGCAAGTGAATGGAAACCCTTTTAGCCTAATATTTTTAAACAAGGTTATTCCTGGAAATAAAAAAATTTCAAAAAGAGCCAAGATCCATTCATTGGGACTTACGCAATATTAAAGGTCACATTTTCACCACTCATAGCGTATCGTCTTCAGTGGTACTTTTTATATTTTCTTCAAACTTCTCCCTGTCATCTTTCAACGGGTAATTTAGAAATAAAAGTGTCTCTCACTTTTAATTGCAGGTTCAATACTTTTAGATTGGACGAACATCAGTTTGAGACACGGAGAGATCGACATTTTAACTGCGCTGGTACTATCGCTAAGGTTGACCATACTATGCAGAACTTCTCAACACACGGATCACCTCATTCAGTTTCGATGCTTCTGTGCAATGGTTAATGTTTTGCGGGAGAAATACCAATGCAACGAATTGACAAACCGAAGCCAAGTGTGATGACATAAGATTAATTTTTATCATTGAAAATTTTGGATGCAATCGAGATAATCTTTTTTTTTCTTTTGGAGAGAGCGAACGGTATACTTATTAACTTCAAATAAGCATTCATGCCTTGACATTAAGTGTAAATATATTAAAATACTCTAAAAAGATGTTCATTTTTGTTCTGTGTTAGGGAAGGGGACAGTACATAATAAGAAAAGGAGCAATCTTCTTCTTGCATCTTACAGACCCTTATACACAAGCAGGGGACTGGAAGGCAAAGTTTCCCACCTTAATCACTCTGTTTGCGAACATGACAATCTCGACATTGCTGATTGTAACAGTGTGCACTTGCAAAACACGAACCTAGCATGTGCTTGGCTTATCCTGAAGTCTGTGCTGTAGCTCAGTTTTGTAGCATTGGAGCGGAATTTAAAAACGTCCGGTTCTATGGAGGGTGGGGGCTCAGATTCTTCTTTGTCCCATGATCTTACAAAACGAACAGCACTGCTCGAGTTCATGATGTTGAAGCTAAATCGAGAAGTCCTGGGTCAAGTTCCTTCCATCTGCCATCTTGTCAATTTCGGGGCTATGACAAACAGTGACGCATTTGTTCATTGGCGCTGATAATGATAGAAAACTTAACCATGATACTTTGATTTTATTAGAAGTTTTACCAAGTAATAAATTGGTTGACCCTTGTTGAAGTTGAGTGTGACCTAGGCACTGCTAATTAATATTTACCGATAAACATCCGGTTTCTTGTATTTTTATGTCATAAGGTTTTCCATGGGTGTCACAGGAAAAAAAGTTTCCTTTTGTTCGTGGGAACGGATGACAAAGTTGATAATGTTGCATTTACCAAAATGGAAAGAGCTGTAATATTTGAAACGAAACGCGTTGAAACGATCATCTTCCATTATCTTGGAAATTTAAAGATGAACCTTTACGAGTGTAGTTCTTCGTTTCTTTGTAAGGGATAGATTTCCTTGTAAACCCATAATATACTAAAACAAGGCCTCTGCCATGTTAGTCTTCGCCTCATGTGGTGGAGGGAGGGGTGGGAGGAGGATTTGGTGGGATCGCACAGTTTTCAAGGGGGAAAGGAAGGGAGATCAGTAGTCGCCAACAGATCGTCCAACACCCCAGCCGAAAAAAAAAAACAGAACAAAACAAAAAGTTCTAATAGTCAAAGGAAAAAACAAAACCCTTATAATCAGTTTTAAAGTTACGGATAGCTACTTTCAAAGTATAAGAAGTGCATTCGTCAGTTTTTTTTTTTCTGAAAATTGGCCAGCACCCACCCTGGATGGAAAGGACGCTGTGAGATTAACGTATGTTGCCAAAGAACAGAACTCAATGGACTGGTTACAGCTGAACCTAGACCTTTCTTCCTGAACGACAGACTGTTTACTAGCGGTATGAAATGTCCACTCTCATCGGGTGATTATTGAGCTAAACTATTTGCTAGGCCTACAACGGATTTGCAATCGCGTGCACAGGGGCAGATCCTGGATAGTAAGATGAAATCTTAACATCACTCCATACCAGGAGAACATTAGCAAATAATCAAAAAGAAAGTCATCTTCCAAAAAATACGGAAAAACCTTTAATGAAAAAAAGGAGGGAAGACGAAGGTTATTTCTCGGGAAAGGTGGCTGTAGAGAAAATTGTTTAGTCATATGGCTCGAAGCTTTTACTGCGTCAGTGTTAAAGAAGAGTTTATAAGTATTGCTTTTTGATACGTAACTTACGTAATTTTGTCTCAAAAGGGCAGGCTCGATAAATGGATTTTTTTTTCTTAAACAAAGCGAAGAGTTGAGAGGGCCGTCGCGTCACACTCCTACCTATAATTCATTCTCACCTTAACCTCCACACCCCCCCCCCCTTTTACTGAAACAGAAATGGACAGGCAACGGATGGTGGCGTTATAATGACGAATTTCTAAAACATTTTTTTCATCTAACAAGACATTAACCTTGGCGATGGAACTGAATTTGAGAACTTTCAACAATAAATTCAGCACTTATTCTTCATAATTAAAGAGCTCACGAAACAGAATAATTCACTAGGTATAGGTTGAAACATCTATGGTTTTCAAACAGGTACTATAGCCTTCATCAACATTAAGGAATCAAGATAGATCTTTTTAGGAACATGTAAAATTTTAACAGCATATAGTGGTTTTCATTCATTTCCTATGGTAGTGACCAGGAGAACTTATTAAATAGCCGAGTAGAAGATCATTTCCTTGATTTTCAAGAACTTTATGTTTGATTACCGGGTGATAATGTCAGGAAAGAATAAAATTTCAGTCACTCCTAAGAGGTTAGCAAGTTAACCATCATTTTATTAAAACATTAAAGGAGGTCAATATTTCCCAAATTCACTACCCCATTTGAAGTCTGCAAACAAACAATTATTAGTGAAGAACTGCATTATTATAATTACCAGTGCTTCTATGATCTTTGTGTAAATTCCACTAAATATTAAAGATCTTCAGCATGGAAGGAAGTTATCTTGATTCAGTAGATGAAGTTAATTGAAACCTGATATTTCTTCTGACAAAGGGCTAACACTTGAAACGTCAGCTTTGGGAACTCTTAACAACAGCTATTTTACATGAACTCAGTTGATAGAACAAAATCATTTTGTAATACCCCCACTGATGCAGCACCACAGTTCTTTTTTTCGAAATTCACCCCTTTTATTCATTTATTTAGAAAGGTTAATTTGTTCTCCTAGTCCAGTTAATGCTCCCATATTTTCTGAACATGGTTCCTATTGAATCAACCTCAAAATCAAATAAATTCATTCCTGTCTTAGACTGAAGTAACTGCAATACTTTTGCATAAAACAATTGAAGACCCTTCACTGTGTTGGTAACTGATCTCTTACTCATCAATATTTCAGTACAGAAAATATCCTACATTTGACTCAAAGAAAAGAGCTAATATCCCTTGAGAACTGAATTCCCAGTTTTCTGGGAATTCCTAGGAATTCTCAAAAATTCCCAACTATGCAAATAAGCTCTGATTTGAAAAGCTTGGAATTACTAAGAGCTTTTGGGAAAGGAAGACTCCAGTTTAATGAGGACTTGGAATTCTTTGGAATTCCTAGGAATTCTCAGCTATACAAACTACCCACAATTTAAGAAAGGTGGAATTCTTGGGAAATTCTGGGAATTTAAAATTTGAGACAGTTTAAATGCCCTAAGTTCACATAAATTCCAAGAAATTCTCAATACTTTGAATGTGAAGGTTTTAAGAAAAGGACTAATTTTAGAGGCTTAAAACTCCGGCTCAGTAAAACGGTATGCTATACAAAATTTACCAAGAGATATAGATACATGTATATGTTTATAACTTAAAGATCACAAAATTTATTATTCAAACTAAGTTTTAGTAAATCTTTACATTAATATGGATTTTCTCATGAAGCAGCAGTTAAGTTATATTAAATGCAAGTTGCCAATGTACAAACCTTGGAACAGTCAAGCTCATGCAGTTGCCTCAAACACTGTCAGAGACCTTTTGTTCAGATTATTTTTAGTAGAAACTTCATGCCTTGGACAAACAAATTCAACACCTATTTAATCTTTCTTTTTTCATGATTATTGTTGCTGTTTTTTTTTGCTCTTTTTATTCTTACAAAACATTTTTTGTAAGAGTTCCAATACTCAAGGATTATTCGCACAGTCCACAAACATTTGGCATGCAGACAAGACAGAGGTGGTCACTGTTCCCTTCAAGAAATAACACCTTTTCCTTGATTTTTTCTATTCGTTTTACTTGAAGCTCAGGTCTGAAAACATTTTAAAATAAGACTTGTTACTAGTGAGAAGTACAAACCAAGTTTCTTTTCATAACTTAGTTTCTTAAATGTCCAAGTCACTGTACCTCCTCAAAAATATTACTTCTTTTCATTTTTGGTGCAAAATACAAGTCCTTCGTCATATACAAATGAAACTTGCAAGTCACACTTCAATAATCACAGCTCTAAGGTTACCTATTGTTCTTCTCTGAGTCAGCTATCAACGAAATTGTTTTATATTTTTTAGGTATGGTATAAAATTCAGTTTGTAATTTAAAATGAGAACCTTAGTTTAAAAAAGTCAGTTCTGATGGTGAATTCAACTGCTTTCATTACAATTTCTAATGCTAAAATTTATTTGTACCATTCTTATTTCATTTAATATGTGATGACCAGCCTCACTAAAGAAGAATGGATTCCGGAGATCTGGCTGTACTTCTCTAAAGACTGCCAATGTGATCCCAGACTGCCTATCCCACACAAAACACTCAACCTCTCCAACCTTGCCACAGGCAAACAAGACAACATAGCCATTCTGCTCTACCATTCTGGTGTACTCCTTCAAGAAAAACACTTATTCATTCTTGAGAATCTGTTGCACTTAAACTTTGTTGCCTCCGATAACTTCCATATCAATCTTCTCCATTAACTCTTGTAGTAGCCCTACAGTTTCTTAGCCCCTCCAGCAATGAAGCAATTCTCTGCCTTCTTTAGATTTTTAATTCACTCTAAAACATGAATGGAAAAAAGGAGATTAATATCTTTAATAACAGTGTGTTTTTCAAGCAAAAAAGAAGTTGTCAGTAGTGTAAAGAAGCTACTGATGATAATGATGATAACAATTGCTATCAATATTACTAAAACTATCATAAAAGATCAGACAAGTACACTTAAGAGCAAAATATCACTTACTCTCTTTTGGTGTTCAGCATTCTTTTGATAAAGTCCTTAACACGACCATTTTCTAACATATCTACCTCGCATCTTAAGCGACTCTGAGCATGAAGCATCCATACAACCTAGGAACAAATTCAAAATTGCAATTAATAATTCATTTCTCCAAATGGAGTGCGGAAGTAAGTTATAAATCTACTTAATTTAAATTTATGACAGAGGAACCCTAATAACAAAGTTAGCAAGGGCTCATGAAAATTTAGCTGTATTAACAGGGTAGGAGCAATATCTTGACTGGTCCTGACAGATACTTTTACATGTCTAAACAACTGTACATTATTTAACAAATACCTGGAATGCAACAAGTTTAACATATGCATACAATAGTAACCAAGGGTACTTCATTGAACATAACTGAATTCTACAATTAAAACAACAACAAACTTGGCCATACATACATCATGTTACTTTAAGTTAAATGTTGTTTTCAATATTGTTAAATATTGTTTTTCAAGTACTGTATTTGTTTTGTTTGGAAAACAAAATTGACCATAATAACAAGGTTACCAAATTAATGAGGTGACCATGCAGTGGGGTGGTGTAAAGGTGTTAGGTGTAAATTAACTGTCTGTTAAAAGTACCTGTCTACAGACATTTCCTGTGCCATGTGTCAAGTCCATGATGGTTCCATTCATGTCCTCAAACCCAAAGGTGGACCATGCCCACAGTGGACCCCATCCTTCAACATAGTCAGCTAGATGGGCACCAGGATTGTGAACAGTGAGACCACAATTGCCATTTCCTTTAAATGTGAGGGAAACACACTGTTTAGGGCTATGCCCTTTTTTTGACCAGTCAATGGGTGAATTTACCCCAAGAAGATACTTTACAAAAGCTTAGCTTTTTCTATTAACACATATGGACAGAGGCATAACTGTCAACCCATTAAGATAAACATCATCTTGAAAATTCTTCTGAGCCACAAACCAATATCTCTTTGTTGCATAGCAATGCTACAAAAGTCATTGATTTTTTGTTATTTCTTTTAAAAACATTTTACATGTAAACCTTAATTAAGCTTGTACATAAATTTCATTGAATCCTAGAATTTGAACAGGGATTTTTGAATTTTTAGTATTTATTTTATATTAATAGCCTCAAGAATTTGACTTAAAACTCCCAGTAATTCCAAAACATTCCTAGAAATTCCTGAAAATTCCTACAAATTCCTTGGAAATTTTTTACATTTACAGCTTTTCAGGGAAAGTCATTGGTGCTTTGAGTTGGAATTCCTAGGAATTCCTAGGAACTTTAAGTCCTGTTGGCTATAAACTCAGAATTTCTGGGAATTTCTCGGTTTTTAGAACCAGAGTTGTTATAGTTGGGACTTCCTAGGAATTCCCAGTCCGAATTTATCGTGAAAATTCACACCTCTTATACCTAGGAAATCCGAGGAATTCCAAATCCATTCCGCAAGGGATATCGGCCAAGATATCGAACCCATCTTTTTTGTGAGATAACAATCAGTCTTCGATTTCTTGTAATTTCTTCCTCTCTTCTAACAATTCTCTCTTTCTAATTTTAAAACCCTTCAACTTCTTTATAATCTCTTTCACCTTCATTTCAAGCCTTGAAATGAAACAAATGAAACGTGAAAGCTTAGTTCAATGGCGCTCTGAAAATTCTTTTGACCAGTTTTTAAACAAGTCAAGGAACCAAGATTTCAAACCATTTAAGGGGATTTTCAACACAACCATTAATATTTGCATCTTATACAAGCAAGTTTTCCTCTTTAGAGATATGTAACTTATATATCTCTAAATAGGAAAAGTTGCGTCGCAATTCCTCGATACGCGACGTTGCTTCATACATTGTTCGAAGCACCTGAATTTTGAGGTTTCCTTCTTCTGACTATGTTTTCCTCATCTTCTTTTCAGAATAATCGGCTTTCGAAGCACCCTTTCCTCTTCTTGGTAGTGTTTCTTCCATTTCGAAAGTTACAACAGCGTTTTTGAACTGCTCTGTAGAAATGTCTCAAAATAAACGACTACATGATACAGCGCGCAGTCCATTTTATGACTGTATTGCAAAGCACCCACGGATTTGTTTCCCATGGAATGACGAGCCTTTGATAGGTATAGATGTCCATCTCTTATTGAAGCATTCAGGTATTCCCTTTTCTCCTGAAGACATTCGAGAGACTCCAAAAATTCAACGATGAGGTGATCTAGTTCCTCACACGCGTCCTCCATTTTGAAAAAAGAAACGAGGGAGATTGAGTACGAGGGAATGTCTTGCCCACTTGTCAACATTTAGTCAACTTCAGGTTGCATTCCTGTGCATTGCCGTTTGTCAGTAAATGTAAAGGAAGATCTCTCTTCATTGATCGAATGCCTTTTTGACAACTTTCGCAGTCGTGATGTGACAGACTCTGAACTGTTGAAGAATGTCAGTCCGAAAGTTAGTGTTCATTATTTTACTGATCATTTCACTACCCGTTAACAGCCGCCGTCAAGACAATTTAGATTGAGAAAAACTAAGGCCGGCAGAGATGGAAGATAGAAATCTGCGAAGGTCGATCAGTTTGAAATTTTACAATATCCTTTTGGATACAGCCCTCCTCGCAAAGTTATATGGACTTTTGATGCAACTTTACGCCTTTTTCTGATGATCAAACGGAAATAGTGGATTCTTTCGCGAAAAAAGCGTGCTACTAAGCGGCGTGTTCACATCGATGGACTCAGCTCACAGATGTACATTGGTCCCGTATAGTACACTGCCATTCCTAGCGTGGAGTCTATTTGCTTTAAATTTGATCTGATCAGGAAGAAAGAAGCCCATGTTTATTCATTGGAAGCGTCAAACCCATTTGCGTTGGATGAATGAATGGGGGAACACTTTCCCACTCACTTCAATTGATCTATATGAAGCTGAGAAAGAAAACTATAAGAATTCTGCAAAGGTACGATGAGATTATTTTTCGAACATAAATGAATCTTTTTTGATCCAAGAAGGGATGGAGCTGTCTCTAGTTATTACAAAGATTAACAATTTTCGCTGGCACTATTCTTTGCCGTCTTTCAACGCCAGTCGATGTTGTGGTAAACGGCTGAGTTCCTCTTTGCTTGAAAATATCTTACTTTTGCCGTATATTTGCGTGTACCATTCGAAGACAATTATATTTATATACCATTATATTTTATTTATATACCATTATATTTTATTTATATACCATTATATTTTATTTATATACCATTATATTTGTGTCTACCATTCGAAGACAAACAATTTCAAAGATTTTACTGTCATGAAGTTTGGACACAAAATTGTGATATTTATAAGACTGAATATCAGATTCCAGTGCGTGAGCTATCGAAGGTTTCCTCGATCTATGTGACGAAAAACTCGTAAGAGATGGTTTCCATGGATTTTCGCTCAAAACAAAATCATTTGCTTCAGCTATCGGTGCGGTCAGTATCGAGGTTCGGAGCTTTGGAAATTTGGATTGTTCACAGTCTTATTTGAGAAAAAAAACACTTAACACAAACCAAAAAAATCAAATACTATAAAAACTAAACTGCAAAAACAAAACAAAAGAAAACCGCGGGTGAGACGCGATGGCTTCGTGGCTTCGCCCCGAAAAAAAAGACGACCAAAAACATCTTCCTTCTCCGCAACTGAAATCAAGAATACCAGTCAGAATGAATCGCTTATGCAGCGACAATGTCAGAAGTTCCTCGTCAAGGGACAAAGCAGATAAAACAGCGCGTCTGCAAAAAGATTTAGGGAGCAAAGTTCAAAGCAAGTGGTCATCACGGATTCCGATTGCGGTGAATGGGAGGAAGACCAAAGTTGATTCTAAAGATAATCTACCCATGAATTTCAAAACTATTCAAGGAGGAAAACCTCTTGAAAAAGATTCAGGTATGTTTATTTCTCAGCAGTTAGCCAGCATCAGTGTTTTCACTGAAGTAATATATCGAAAATTGAAGACATTCTATAAAACAGTTTCAGGCGAACGGCTGGAATCACCATATTGTCTGTATCATAACATACGCCGTAGGTAAAAGAAGCAGCAACTGAGATAAATTGACGGAAACCAAGTTGTACAGGGTTGAAAAGACACTAATTAAATGTTCCTCGATTTAAAAAAGTCGATGAGTAAGACTTGTTTTTAACTTTAAACTCCTATTTAATGTAGAAAAAGATTACTACCATTAATTGATTCTCGGTTGTCATCACATTTCTATTCATTTATTTGTTTATTAACTCTTTGTTCAGTTTTCCATTTCATTTATTTATCTATTTTATTTATTAACATATTTTTAACTTCACCTGAGTAAAGATTTTCCTCAATTTTCTAAGATCTTGATCCAGAATTAAGCAAGCCTCTTTCGGTTGCTAATTTCATCAGCCATCTTGTTTATTTCAAGCCACTTAGTCGATGCTTGTTTGCACAAACTGGAGGCAAATTTCTGCAGTCACAGCTTCATGACATTTGCTAAAGAAATGAAAAGCTTGCACCTAATTTTTCTTAGGGGGAGCTAATTGGTAATCTCGATTTGATCACAGGTATTAAACTGCGAAAAACTCAAGGTACACAAGACAAGAAAACGGAAAGTGCCATTCCTTCAACCACAGCTAAACAAAGCAGTTACAGGCGCGCTCCGAAAACCACGCCAATTGTCAGGCGACGTGTACCACGACAGCTTACACCAACAGAGACAGAGTCAAAACAGGTAAATCTGGGAGGAAAATGTCATTTCAGCAAATACAAGAGGTGAAGTATTCACAGTGACAACTGGCTCTTTCGGAGGGTCTGGAACTTAATATCGTGATTAGCCTTTGTTTCACATCTTCGCGAATTAGGAATGTTAGGTTTATGAGAGACATCCACAAATATAACAGCAGCAACAAAAACAACGCATTTTGTGCTTAAATAATCAGGTTTGCAAGGATGCGAAAGAATCACGAGAAGAAAGCTCAGCGAGAGAGAAATCATCTGCAGAATGGGCGGAAGAGGTCACGCCAGAGGTCACCAAAGCTAAACAGAGCAGTTATAGGCGCACTCAGAAAACCACGCCAATTGTCAGGCGACGTGTACCACCACAGCTTACACCAACAGAGACAAAGTCGAAACAGGTAAATCTGGGAGGAAAATGTCACTTCAGCAAATACCAGAGGTGAAGTATTTCACGGTGACAACTGTCTCTTTTGGAGGGTCTGGAACTTAATATCGTGATTAGCCTTCGTTTCACATCTTCGCGAATTAGGAATGTTAGGTTTATGAGAGACATCCACAAATATAACAGCTGCAACTAAAACAACGCATTTTGTGCTTAAATAATTAGGTTTGCAAGGATGCGAAAGAATCACGAGAAGAAAGCTCAGCAAGAGAGAAATTATCTGCAGCAAGGGCGGAAGAGGTCACACCAGAGGTCACCACAGCTAAACAAAGTGGTTATAGGCGCACTCAGAAAACGACGCCAATTGTCAGGCGACGTGTACCACGGCAGCTTACACCAACAGAGACAGAGTCGAAACAGGTAAATCTGGGATGAAAATTTTATTACAGAAAATGCCAGAGGTGAAGTATTTCACAGTGACAACTGTGTCTTTTCGAGGGTCTGGAACTTAATATCGTGATAAGCCATTGTTTCCCATCTACGTGAATTAGGAATGTTAGGTTTATGAG